AACAAGAAGCTGCTAGGAGCAAGAAGCTACTAGTAACAAGTGCATCGAACCCTTTTGTCACCGACTCCACCGCTTCGGACCTTTGTGCTCCAGAGACGGCGGACTTTCTACGAGGTAGTCAGCGCGTCGGTGAGACCAGCAATGTCATGGAAGCTCTGGAACTCTAAATGCAAAGATGAACCATTTATTTTAGAAGCTAGTAGAAACAAGTGCCACGCTAGTAGTAACAGGTGCCTTACTAGTAGTAACAAGAAGCCATTATTTTAGTTTTAGTTTAAGTTAATAGCTTTTTGTTACTGCTAGTAAGGCACTTGTTACTACTAGCGAGGCACTTGTTACCAGTAGTAAGATGAACCATGTCAGTGAGATTCATTGAGTCATTGTTCTTTTTGGGGGGGACGGCGTCAACAACCTGTGTGGACGAGCACATCCATTCATATCCATTCCTCGTCCAACTGCCAGAGCTCCAGTATCCTGTTACCCTCTTTCCAGAGCTGCCCAGAGCTGGAAGAGCTAAGTCTCAGCTGCTTTGGACGCATCCACGCGAAAGGAACCTAGCAGTGCCACTGACAGATCTACAATTAAGCAGCGTCAGCGTAGCAATTGACTCGAGGAAAAGGCGGTCAGATCATGTCATCCATGCAGTAAGCCAACCACTTCAACTTCCAACAACTTTCAAAGTTGGGCGAATGTGATGTTAACAAGAAGCTACTAGTAACAAAGGGCATAGCTCCTGGCCTTACTACTAGTAACAAGAAGCTACTAGTAACAAGAACCTTCTCTGTTCCATCAGCTTCCCTTTTCAGCTTTCTGATGCAAAAGGGTCTGGGCAGAACGAGTGAGACGGCGGAGCTTGTATCCGATTAGTGCCATCTGTACCACCTGCGCAGTTGCCAGACCACAGGGGAACGGCTCGATAACACGATGGATGAGTATTTCACAAGATGTCTCAGACTGAAACAACTCCTTGCCCGTTCCGTGCTGCAAGAAATTGCGTGATGCCCCCCGAAATCTGCAATCAGCCAGGCTAGGAAACTTCTAAATAAACAGGTCTGATCGGGCTGATTGCATCCGATTGCAACCTGTAATGTCCCACGGCCTGACTTCGAAACCAAGTTGGGCTGAAGACCCAACAAGAGAAGATCGAAACAGTCAGAAGCTCAGCTCTAGTTGAAGCATCTCTCAGCACGAGATGTACTGATCAATGCTGAAGCTAAGCTGCATTAATTAGATTCAGAAACTCTCAGAACTAGTAGAGCTCCGCTAGATCATTTGGCTCGGCTAGGCTCCGCTACAGGCCATCCGGTCCTGTGCCCTCACGATTGGTTCCCCGCGCGGAGGAGGAACGGATGCTCTAAGGCTTCCTTCGCTGTGGCACGGCCCGACGGTTCGAATTTCATCAGCTGTCGGATGAGGCCCTTGGAATCGTCAGAGACAAAGCTCCAACGTTTGCCATCGAGCTTGTAGATGCAATTCCTCACCTGGCGAAAATCGCTTAATGTCTTTGCCGATTTTTTTGGGAGCCAAACTTGACCAAATTGCAAGGACCGCCAAGAATAATAATCTCTCAACCGACATCAAACAACCATGTCACTGAACTTCAGAACTTGCTCCAGCCTTGTTCAAGACTTCTGCATCGGATTGTGCATAGAATGGCGGCGATGCAGATAAGGACATGTAGAGCAAAACGCCGCAGGCCCAGCAATCCACCGGGGCCCAATAGGGCTCACCACGGACCACCTCTGGGGCCACGGTATCGGGCGAGCCCATCCGGGTGTGCAAACGATAGGCCGGCGGCCGCGGCCGTGCTGCGAAGCCAAAGTCGCACAACTTGAAGACGTTCTGCTCTGGTGGGACACCTGTGCGAGTTTGGTGCCACTAGACTCTTTCATGGGATTCGGCCAATTGTGTCCATATGTGAAACGGTGGGTTTGACACCAAAAGATCTAGCATGGCTTGTTGGGGTGCGACAGTGTAGGAATTGAATAGAACAGCAGCCCCCAATGACCCCCTAGTCTCTGCATCGCCTCAAAAATACTTCAAACAATGACCAAAAGTGAGGATTATACCGGCATAGACCCCAGATAGCACTTCACATCCCACTCAAAGCCGGGAAAAGGATGGAAAAGGTACACAAAACCTAAATCATCTTATAACAGCATCCGCGTCAAAGGCAGGCAAGAAAATGACTTGAGGCCAGGGGGAGGAGGTCGAAAGCTAGCCGAATCGCACCGGATGTACTAGTCACATAGTCGGCAAAGCATGTAGTGAGTACATGTTCTGGGAGGAAGGTTGCTATGTACATACTTTGCGCTAAAGAATATAAATGTGACATCGCTGACTGGGACTGGGAAGGGTACATTGGAACAACCCGGGTGCACTCGTTGGCAGGCACGAAGATGCGTGATCGGCAAATCTGGGGGGTAAATTTACCCTCCGCTTTTGTATGCCTTGAGGGGTAAGCATTTCTGACATCATACGGACTGTACATACACTAGGGCGTCCGTAGTGTAGGAGAAGCACAGGTAAAAGGTATATGGAATAGAGTGTCTTGAGGAAATAGCCGGCTTATGGTTATTGGAAATCTGGGGGGTAAATTTACCCCCCGCTTATGTATGCCTTGTGCCGGAAAGAGGAGTAAGCATTTCTGGCATCACAAGGACTGTGCAAACACTAGGGCGTCCGTAGTGTAGGATAAGCACTGGTAAAAAGGATGTAAAAAGTATCAGGCATAGAGTGTCTTGAGGAAATAGCCTGTGTATGGTTATAGCAAGCCTTGGGAGTAAATTTACCACCCGCTTATGAAATAGGGTAAACAACTTGTAAGGGTGAAGTACAAGTCCTATGCAGCAAGCAGCAGCCAGCAGCAGCAGCAGCAGCAGAAGCAGCCGCCTGCAGCCAGCAGCCAGAAGCAACCGCCAAGCAGCCAGCCAGCAGCACCACGCAGCAGCAGCGCAGCACCAAGCCGCAGCAGCAGCAGCAGCAGCACCACCGGCAGCAAGCAGCAAGCAGCAAGCAGCAGCAGCACCACCGGCAGCAAGCAGCAAGCAGCAAGCAGCAAGCAGCAGCAGCAGCGGCGTCGTCAGCAACAGCAGCAGCAGCACCAAGCCGCAACAAGTAGCAAAGCATGAACTACCTCAAATGATCTCAAATATACACGCAACTCATTATCATTATACCTATCAGTTTGTTAACTTCTGCATTGAATGAGCCACTCGAACCAGCAAAACGACGCCAACCCTGGACGGAGGCTGAAGGAACGACGTAGCATGGAGGTGAAATGGAGCGTGCTCACCGTAGGACATGCCTTGACCAAGGATTGTAGATGCAAACAATTGCACAAACATATGCACACCTTGCCGCTGTCTGAACACCAGCAGAGCTATCACGCAATTCATTCAGTGGAATGGTGGTATGCACCACAACAATAAGCGAAGCGGCGCAGCTGGGAGTTGAACCGCGGGGGGGGGGGGTTAGCTTGATATATCAATCTTTAAGGCACGCAGCCCCTCCCACCACAACATTGCTAAAGCAAAGAAGAACTCAGCTAGCATGCTAGCTTTCGTGACAAGGCGGCAGCCGCAGCCAAGAGCGAAATCAGGAACAGAGACAAGCTTGGGAAACACGGCGGCAGCGGCAGCCAAGAGCGAAATCATGAAGGGAGACAAGCTTGGGAGACAAAGCGGCAGCGGCAGCCAAGAGCGAAGTCATGAAGGGAGACAAGCTTGGGAGACAAAGCGGCAGCGGCAGCCAAGAGCGAAGTCATGAAGGGAGACAAGCTTGGGAGACAAGATGGCAGCGGCAGCCAAGAGCGAAATCACGAAGGGAGACAAGCTTGGGAGACAAGCCGGCAGCGGCAGCCAAAAGCGGAGTCATGAAAAGACACAAGCTGGAGAAACAAGATGGCAGCGGCAGCCAAGAGCGAAGTCATGAAGGGAGACAAGCTTGGGAGACAAGGCGGCAGCGGCAGCCAAAAGCGAAATCATGAAGGGAGACAAGCTTGGGAGACAAGCAGGCAGCGGTAGCCAGAAGCGAAATCATGAAGGGAGACAAGCTTGGGAAACAAGGCGGCAGCGGCAGCCAATTTCCGCTATCCGGAACCCATCCATTTAGAAGTAAGAACCCCTATAGCTTCCAGCTATCTGGGGGAAAACCATGGAAAAACATTTTGCTTAGCTGTCGCACACACACACACACACTTTTCATTCATGCCTTTCTGCGCCAAAAGTACATTCTCACACTTCACGTCACGATGGACCACCGGGAGCTCGTGCAAAAAGGCAATGGCGGAAAGCAAATGCACCTGACGCGTTTGTGGTTTTCCACGCTTCAGTTGAACGGCTTCGGAGGGTCTGAATTTGAAAGTTGAATTGGCTGAATCAAGCGAACCGGCATACACGTATTTTAGAGATTGATTCTTGTTTTTGTGATCACTCAGTGCCGAGCATGCCTCAAGGCTTTCCAATTGGTTTTGTTGCCCCATGAGTACCAACCCATCGGTGCCAGAGTCCCCCATTCGAAGTCTCGAGGCGCCCTTTGGCAAACCCATCATTTTTTCAGTGAGTCAGAGTCACTTTTTGCGAATGTGTCTGCAGGGGTGCGCCTTTCAGTGTCAGTTGGTCTACAGGCTGGTTACATCCTGTACCCAGTCCAGTTGGCTTGGGCCCTTTTGTGAGACTTGGTCTCAGACTAGGGCCTGCGATTTTTGTTTAAGTAAGCTTGATCATCGT